GCCCTTTCGAAAAAGAGGCGTGGGATCTCGGCCAACGTATTGGTTCTTCCCGCTGGTCCGTGTGTTTTCCGCTTTTCACAGTTCTCACAGGACTACCGTCGATCCTCTCCTTTATGAAGAAGAAAGTTATTCACTTATCGAAGCTAAATTGAAATCAGTGCTACTGAGGTCATTGTAAGCATATGGATTCTCCCTGAATTTGTATTCCTACTGAGAAGAATCCTGAACTAGTTCAGGACAAGGATTTGATATTGGCTTCCGGGGATTCCGGGGTAGCTCTGGAGGAACCATCTCATGAGGGGCCTCTTCAAAATCGAACATAATCGTGCCTCTTAATTACGTCGTTCAAATTGTATGTTTTTCGGGTAGACTGGTGCAGTCAGAACCATTACCATTGGTGGCTCCAGCTGTAACCATTTGGCCGAGCACGTGTTCCGGCCTCACTACTTTTTTCTGCTTGGGTTTGAAAAAGCGCAGCTGTTCCGGAACTATCGACGGTTCCGAGTCTCATCTTCATTCGCGGAGCCGTCATGAAGCTTTTTTTCACGGCGGGCTCTATGGAGACGTTTTTGAAAGATTGCTCTAGAAGTATCCATGGACGCGAAGGACTCTGCGTTCAGAACGAACCGGGATCTTGTGAGAATCGGGACGACAACTAGGATTTCTAGCAAAAAAAATCATGAAAGGGTTCTTCCGTGTAGCGTGTGCCAACCGTGGTTGCAACAAGGAACTGGAGGCGAAGGGCATCAGTTGCTCTGGCTCCATGGCCAACCTCACATCGTAGAATCTGCTACAAAAAGACGTGTTCGTTTTCATGGGAAAGGAGCAATTTGTTCCACACGAACAAAAGGATTGTTCGGATCGAACGTCAGAGACTACTGTTATTTGAACTGTTATGCTTACTCGATATTCCTTCTCTTCATGTCAGAGAAGGGGACTGGGGAAATGATATGGGAAAGCCTTTTCGTCATGCATGTATGCCATGCATGGCTCACTCTCTGTCATCGATGACCAAACCCCTCAGCGGTCGAATTGAGGGATGGGCAAAGAAGTAGGCACTGTGGACAATGACGAGGGCGCCGACGACGAGAGAAAAAGCGGGCGGGAAAGGAGGGATGGGCGGCATCTTATGGTAGATCTACTCTCCCACACAATTTGGGAAATTGAAGATCAAGATGAAAGTTTCCAGCAGGATTTCCCTGGCTATACAGGCCCTAATTGCAGATTAGTATGGGGATTTAATATATGGTGTTGTTCAATCCTAGAACACGCCAAAATTCTAATAAATCACCACGTATTTAGTTATATTTCTTTTAGGCTCAGGCAATCGTGTGCTGAAGATCGTCACCGAGATGTCGTCATCGTCCGTGGCCAGCGGTCTGTCCCCTTACGGTCAGAATGCGGCTTCCACAATTCGAGATGCTCGTGAACGAGAGAAGAAAGAAATGAGCGATCTCAATGATAAACTGGCCAGCTACATCGAGAAGGTTTGAGATGGGGCCTCTACCGCCGCAACCCTAAAAGAAGGGCTTTTGGGGAAGTGACTGAGATCATGGGTTCAAAATCTCCCCCTTCAGGTACGCTTCCTCGAAGCTCAAAATCGTAAACTCGGTGCCGATCTTGATATGCTTCGTAATCGTTGGGGAAAAGATACCAGCAGTATTCGTAGCATGTATGAAGGAGAGATGAGTCAAGCTAAGAAGGTATGTCAACTAACTTTGTGAAGTAAATCGATCAAACTGGTCGGTAAACAAACAACCTACCAAAACCCCCCTGTTTTTCAGGTGATCGCTCAAACTGGCAAGGAAAAAGATGATTTGGAAAAGGAAATCCGCAAACTTCAAGATGAACTCAATGAATTCCGCCGAAAGTAATCATTAATAGTGGTCATTGAATAAACACATTACCAAACATAATTGTTCAATTTGTTGCAGATTTGAAGAGGCGACAAAAGCTCGCTTGGGGGACCGTGAAAAAATCGATGAACTCCTTGTGAAGCTNGAAAAAGATGATTTGGAAAAGGAAATCCGCAAACTTCAAGATGAACTCAATGAATTCCGCCGAAAGTAATCATTTGTAGTGGTCATTGAATAAACAAATTACCAAACGTAATTGTTGATTTCGTTGCAGATTTGAAGAGGCGACAAAAGCTCGCTTGGGGGACCGTGAAAAAATCGATGAACTCCTTGTGAAGCTGTCGAATATCGAAGCCGAAATTAATCTTCTAAAACGAAGAATTGCACTTCTTGAAGAGGAAATTTCTCGTCTGAAAAAAGAGAATATGCGTTTAATGGCCGAACTTCAACGAGCACGTACAGTACGTTTTCTCGTTTACTTTTTCTATTAACTTCACCCGATGTCGAACGGGAACCAGTTAAAATTGTTCGATGAATCATCGCCATTCGACCCATCATTGTATTTACAGGATCTCGACCAGGAGACACTGAATCGCATTGACTATCAAAATCAGGTCGCTACCCTGCTTGAAGAAATCGACTTCATCAACAGAGTTCACGATCAGGTAAGCCGTCAATCATCTTCATTGAAGAGTCATACGGCAATCGGGATCCTGGATATGATTGAAGGATAAAAAATAAAGTATTCGGCGTCAAACAATCTCGTTTTGGGTTGCGCCCCGTATTCGACTTCCATTCAGAATCGTAGTGGCGAATACCTTTACGTACTATGCGTATACGTTCCTGGCCTATACAATGGGTGGCCAATGTTCAAGTTAATGCTTAATTCACCGACCTCTGTGGAATGGAAGGCAAGGTTGGCCTGGGCGACTATCGATCCGTTTCGCCAAAACACCACCTTCGTCTTCCGAATTCGGTTATGTAGCAGTTGAAGGCCTAACCGCTCGAAAAGGATTACCCGTAACTCCAACTGCTGAAGGTTGCACAGAAGTTCTGGAGGGCCAATCGGGTCTGAACCCAGTGGTTGCCACATAAGGCAGTACCTCCCTGCCTTCTTTATCAACACCTCACCGCTTTCCCAAGGTTTGAGCGGTGATAAAAACCTCCCATTACAGTCTAGTGAAACCTATGTGAAACTGGTCGAGCGCCCGGGTTTTGTGAAAGAAGGTGATAGGACCCTGAGCCTAAAAAGATCGGTTCCACATCTCTCCTTTTCTTTCCCTATCTTGACAGAAACCGACCAAATTCTTACCGTACCTTTAACTAGGCACGTAAGTCGAAGCGGGTTCCATGAATCGAAGGTTAATTATGGAAGCCTCTTCACGAATAGCAGATCCAGGTGAACTGTAAGTTAGAGGATGACCCGGGACGGTACAAAGGGCTCTGAACGGTGAGCGCGAAATCGAAACGGTACTTTGAACCCGTAGGTCGTTTAGGCTCCGAGCTATTGGGCCATCGATTTACGACCGGGAATCTCTTTACACAATGACTCAACGTACAGAAAAAGGGGTAGTTATGGGGAGGAAACTTCGGAGTAGGGGTTGAGGTGAAGTCACGTGTTGCGAGTGTTTTTTGTTCTTTTTCGTCGACATTTTTCTGTGTCGAGACTAGGCTTCGGCGTAGGGTTCAGGAACGGAAAAAGTCTGTATACTTTCGTAATTTAGGAGATTAAAGAACTGCAAGCCATGGCTGCTCGTGATACCACCAGCGAAAATCGTGAATTCTTCAAGAATGAACTCGCATCAGCCATCCGAGACATCAGAAATGAGTATGACCAGGTATGAGGCTCAACAGGACCAGTTCTTCATGGTTAGCAACAATTGCAATCCTCATTTTCAGATGATGAACACCAACCGTAACGACATGGAGTCCTGGTACAAACTGAAAGTGCAGGAGATTCAGACCCAAAGCGCCCGTCAGAATATGGAACAGGGCTACCAGAAGGACGAGGTGAAACGCCTGCGCACTCAGCTCACCGACCTCCGTGGAAAACTGGCCGATCTCGAAGGCAGAGTAAGTTACTGTATACTTTTTGGCATCAGATCAGAAGAGATCAGTTGCCCAGCTAAAAAATCCATCAAAGGTACAATTGAACGGTTTTGTTTTCAGAATGCACTGCTTGAGAAGCAGATCCAGGAGTTGAACTACCAGTTGGAGGATGACCAGAGATCATACGAAGCGGCTCTGAATGATCGTGATGCTCAGATCCGTAAGATGCGAGAAGAATGTCAAGCTCTCATGGTTGAACTCCAAATGCTGCTCGACACTAAGCAGGTAGCTTGTACTCGAAGCAGGTAGCCTCAAATGCTCCCAGGAAGCTGTTAATGTGGTGTCTGGATTCTGGGAGGACATCAAAGGAAGGACCCTTCGTCGCGTCAG